CCCAGAAAATATTATATTTTGTGTAGTGTGAATCACAAAGGTGTGATCTGGAATCACAAATGTGTGCTCCTGGAATCACAAATGTGTGATCTGGAATCACAAATGTGTGAACATGAATCACACATTTGTGAATTAGGATCACACATTTGTGATTCAAGATCACACATTTGTGCTCTTGAATCACACATGTGGGATATAAAATCACACATGTGTGATCGTGAATCACACATGTGTAATCTTGAATCACACATGTGTGAACATGAATCACAAAGGTGTGAACATGAATCACAAATGTGTGATTTAAGATCACACGGCTGTGAACATGAATCACAAATGTGTGCTCTTGAATCACACATGTGGGATCTAAAATCACAAATGTGTGATCCTAAATCACACATGTGTGATTCATGTTCACAAATGTGTGATCTTGAATCACACATGTGTGATCTTAAATCACACATTTGTGAATTAGGATCACAAATGAAGTCTCCTAAGTCACACAGGTGTGACATTCATTCACTTGTAATAACATGAACACATGTGTGAAGATCCTACACATGTAGGATTCACAACCTGTGTGAGTCACCCACAGATCGGCCATTTTACGGAGCTCTCAAAGGATGTGTGAGAGTGTGAATCCTCATCCCTCAACTTCCATACCATACACGTTCAGACTCTTCCCTTCCATTCAAGGATGTCCTCGACAAACGAAACCCCCCCTATCAATCCCACTGATACAGTCATCAATACCACCGACACCCTTACCGCTGATACGAATATCAATACCACCGTTCCATCCACCGATACCAACACCAACCCACCCTCGACTACTAGCTTGATTCCTCCCCCTGACGCTGCTGGCATTTTCCCAACCCACACGGCGATTGAGCATCATCTCAAGTCCCACGGCAACACTCAGCGATACCCAGTCAGCTCGCTAGATTCCCGTGACACCTTCAAGACCTGGAAATGTGGCCTCGGGCCAAATCGCAAGCAAGAGAAGGCCAAGAGAGATGACCCGACCCTCATAATACCCACCTGCCCATTCAAAGCGACCGCTAGACGCAACCCGGATGATTATACCTGGTACATCCGCATCGATAATCCACTACACAACCATGAGCCCATACCCGATTTCAAGCCCATGGCCTTGCCCAACCTGTCTGAAGACAAGATTGAGACAAAGCCTAAGACAAAAACCACGAAACGCAAGCGAGTCGACTCTCTTCCAGCTGCACCAAGCCAGACTCAAAACACTCCAACTACCTCGAAACCTCAAAACACATCTCAGTATCGCCATCGATTCCAAGCGTTAATCCAAGAAATGGAAACCCTTGATGAGGACGTTCAAAATAACCTTCTCGACCGTTTCTTTCGTGATTGCGAGGTCGCTAAGGGAGCTAAGACATTAAAAAAGGGAGTAAGGGCACCAGTAAGCGATTTCATAATTTAAGTCATTGCATCATTCCTTTAGTTTGAGTTTTCCAAGTTACTAACATCGTTTCTATCCAACAGGAAAATCCTGTACTTAAATCTTCGCCGATCAGGCAGCCCGACGTGATTGAACCCGAGCACTGCAAGGAAACCCCTGTTCACCAAGAAGCAAGTAACAAGACGCATAAATCAGGAGTAATAGCTCAGCACGACGACGACCTAACAGATCTTGATGACTCTGACCAAGGAAACGATAATAATGAAGAGAACAAAGATAATGATGATGATGAGATAGCTGCGACATTACTTACATTGAATCAGGTAAACAAAAAAAAAACCAACATCTACAAGTACAAGTCCTAACGACCAGAGGTCCAATTCAAATAAGGATAACATTCGTCACCGAGCAACTCGTAGCAAAAATAACAAGGATTTGATAAAGGCAACACGCAAATCATCACGTGGTAATCCTCAAGCTACTGACCTTGTAAGTCGCACCTATGTCTCCAATACATTGGAAGAATATTGAATTCATCTTCCAATTCACACTTCCTTAGAAAGCAAAAAACACGAACAAATCGAGGGTTAGTATGATGTTTAGCCCAAGGGCCAATTCACGAGTTTGTTTGTAAAGCTGACTCCAACATTGTTTGCACGCTTTTTAGACTGAAATCAATCAGAATCTGCCAAATCCAAAGAGGATGAAGAAGAGCAGTACAAAATCCAAAGAGGTTGAAGAGAGCAGTAGAACGGTAAGCTTTTCTTTCACATATCCTGCTATCCACCTCATCTTGACTCATCAATGATCTCTCATCTAAACATTTTATTGACACTAGAGTACGGATTCCATTGCTACATTTTCAGGAATCAAGGATCAAAACAACGAGCAGACCGAATACACCAAAAGCCAAGAAGAAATAGTATTGAAGGTGAGCTCTAATACTATGTTAATACTATGTTTATGTGGGAATGAATGTTAGAGACATTGAAGATTTGTGTGTGAACTTGTGTAGTTGTGGTTTGGATTCCGACGCGGCGGCCGCGTCGGCGTGTTGGAAGGGGGGTCTTCGGCTTGTCGCCGATAGGAATGACCCGTTTCCTATCGGCGGGTATCCGAAGGGGCGGGTAGCCACAGGTGGTTGAATTATATATAATAAAATTATTATTGTGTTGTGTAATATAGCCAAACACGTGGCTTACATATAATTACACCCACAGACCACTCGGTGATCTGTGTATTTAATACACCCACGCGGCAATTATACGAAAGCCCCGCGCGTGGTCCGACAGCCACCACAGTACATTGACATTGCTCAATTTCGAAATCAGCTCAGCATTTCGAATTCAACCACCTACCACCCTATCACCGATACCATACGATCGATCGATCGATTGAATTACCCGGTATTGTATCCAACAAGACCTCTTGCTGTGAAGAAAAGGAAAAGTCAGTACGAGTTCCTTTGATTAGAAAATTGAAGAACTCACAAGATCGATCAAACAAAACTGATACAATTGGTTTATTGATATTTCTTCTTTGAAACCTTCTTTGCTTTTGATTCAGTGTAAATTCAATCAACAAGCAATTGACTCCACAGGACCATCAAGTGGTGAGTGAAATTGTATCTACTGAAATCGACCAACGTCTATCATTGCCCAGAATCAGGTTGGATTTCATTTCTTCTACATAGTATCATCGGATCAAGTAAAGTGATTTATCAGACTCAGCTTGATAATCAAATAGATCAATAGCTGATTATATCTTTATTTAATAGTTTCTTTTGTCTCATCAACGTTATAAAACCGATTGATTGATAATCATATTGATTTTAGATTTTCTTCCTTATCTCGATTGTTCTGAATTCGATCAGAGGATATACTCAATCGAGTGATCACCTTTAGATTTTTTGAATTGAAACGATTTTTTCTGAAAGAAGCTTAGAGTAAGCCGCTTCCGTTTCAGTTCTATCAAAGTTTATGATAGATACTGATATAAAGAATTATTATTCTCCCATTTGTCTATTTGCTTGAATTTTAATAGGACTAACCAATTGACCACATCGACTGCTTTCCTTTTGAGATATTTTCTTTTTTTCAAATTATCTTAATAAGACCATAAGAATACTTTAGACGCGTTTCTAACCACACCACTACCTTTTGATCAACATGGTTGCCTTGATCTTTTCTTTTGATTAGTGTAATTCAATAGAACCGATTGATCACTTGGAAACATAGGAAAACAAGTCATTGCGAATCTCAGCAAACAGTTGATGATTGTTTCTTTTTAATCTTGAATCATTTTTTTCACTCATTGAGTTTTAAGAGTGTTACCTATTGGTAAAGACTCGTTCAATAAGTGTACAGAACTATTCTAGTAAAACAATAACTTGAATATCAAGATACCATCTCAAGGAGAACTTTGTATCTAGATTCATTCTAGAAGCACTAAATTCAATAGCTGATTGTAATTAAATCAAGTTGACTAAAACTTTGCAATCACACTGTCAACTCAAACAATCTTTGGTTAACCTCAGTTCCAATTGTGACCTGTTTTTACCAAATTGCCTTCTGTAACAAAAATTGATAAATATCAAATAGATTATCAGATCCAATATCACATCTTTGTTGAGTTCTTGTAAACTTTGAGATATTGTTGATTAAAAGATTATTGCCTTTGGATTTTTTTGATTTCTTTCAAGTAAAAAAACATCAGAACTAATTAAGAATCAAGAAAACAGATCTTGAATTCATTTCAGAACAGCCACCTGAAGTAGAAGGCAAAACTTCACATCTGCCCCTTTATCATAATGGCAGATTGGAATCCACCACCTCACCCTCGTAGCCGTAATGAGCCAGAACGTTATGGTAACCTCCAAACCACCAGCACCAGCCGGCCTGGAACTGATGGACCATGGTCGAAGATTGGATCCAGGGCAGGATCAACAGCCAGCAGTAAGCAAAGGGCAAATGAAGGCAAAGGCAAGCTTTCAATTACCACTCAGGCTCTGCAAAAAGACTCAAAAGACCTTCCGTTGACTACAGGAGTTGGTATAGTACAACCATCAGTGGCAGAAAATTTGAGCTCAGTAGTTGATCCATATGTTCGGTCTGAGAGTGGTCAAACCAGAAGCTCAGCAGCCAAAGACGGCCATGAACCACCAGCGGAACTCCCATCCGAGGTCACACCAAGGGCATTTGGCTCAATAGTACAATCACAGCTGAGTGAACTCAAGCCAGCAGGAATTTCAGGTCTATTACCAGGCTCAAGTGGAAGCAGGCCAAGCGCTGATTCTTTTGAACAGGGGTCATTTCTTGCAAAACTTCAGAAGTCAAAGAGGCCTGGAGAAAAAGATTTAGGTACACTGAGTACTCAAGAAAGAGTTATTTTACGTAAGTTCTCAGAAATCACTCAGAGTGAATTCATTTTACCTATGATGACTGAAATAACCAATTATCTTGGACATTTTGAACAACAGATAAATGTTTCTAATGAATTTAATCAGTCCCTTAAGGAATTTTTGAAAGTATTTAATGGTAATTTAGAAGTTTTGGATTCCAATATCAGAGATTTTAGTAATGAATCAGGGTCTAAGTTTTCAGAAGTATTAAAAAAAGAATTTCATCTTTTAGAAGTTGTTAATGCTCAATACAAAGAACTTTATAAGGTTATCAGGCAAGATAACAAAGATGTTTCTAGTTTGAATGGAAAGTTGGTTTCCTTTCTAAATCAATTTCCTTCAGAGTCTTTGAATTTATTTTTGGATAAAAATTCAACCTCTTTGTTTTCTCTAAATGATATTAATGAGAATATTCTAGAGTTCAAAAATACTTTGAATGAGTTTCGTGAAAATCATGAGAGTGAGAGACCTAGTGTAGTTCAACATGATCAAGTTCTAACTACACTGTTAGAAAATCTTCATCATAAGTTGTATGAAAAACTTGACAACCAGTTTCATCAGAACACCAGTCTGTCTAGCGATGAAATGAACAAATTCATCCAAGACCAAACACTTGCGGTTGAAAATGAGAAAATCCAGCGGAGTAATTTTCAAGACTTTCTCGCAAGAAGTCTAGAGGAAATTAAAGAAAATCAAGCAAAGTTTGAAAATTCTACTAATATTAAATTAGATAGAATTGAAAATATGTTGCTGAAAATGACAAATAGTAATGAGCAAGACATAGAGCAAGTGCAGGAGCAACTACAAAACAATACTTTACCTACAAATAGAGTTGGCTCAATGGTGAGAAATTTTGAAGGTATCAGTCAAACTCCTATGCAAGGTAGTTCAACAAGGAAGGTCAGGAGTGTACCTCCTCACCTTGATAGGCAAGATAATGGATCAAGGTTCAGAGTGGAAAGTACCCCTAACCTTGGAAATAATCCATTCTTGTCCCAACACATAAATCAAAGCACTGTGTTGCATCCTGACAATTCAATGGTAGATTTAGAAACAACCACAGAATTGTTGCGTCAAGCATCAATCAGAAAAGAACTAAGGAAAGAATATCCTAATGTCAAGGATTGGCCTACTTTTAGCGGAGAAGGTGAGTACAATCACCAAGAGTTTGTTGATTGGGTTGACGCAGTACCAGTGCGCCTACAAATGCCAGATATTTTGATTACATCAAAATTATCAATTGTATTTACTGGTGTAGCCCGACAATGGGTTATGGACGTCATGAAAGAAGACAGTGGGCATAATAAAACTTGGGAGGAATGGAAACAAGCTATTCAGACCAGGTTTGGAAATGCTCAATGGAGGTCTTACATGGAGAGACTATTCATGAGAGACAGATTCAAACCAGAAATCCATTCTGATTGTGTAAAATGGGCTTCAAGGCAACAACAGCGGTTTAGATCATTTAGACCAAATGCAGACTCATATGAAGTAGCTGAAAAAGTACTTTGGCAGCTACCCAGCACAATCAGAATCCCGGTCCAAAATAGAATTGGTCCGGATAGTAGTTGGACAGATTTCATTCTAGCTTTTGAAGATATTGCTAAAAGTTTGATGCCTGTTAGAAGAACACAGACAAATAATTCTCACTCTCAGTCAAATAATGAACACAAGGAGCACCAAGTAAGCAGTACAAAAGCTCACTGAAATGAAAAGTAGTAAGTCTTGCAATACCTGTGGCAGTACAGATCCTCAGCATGTTTGGCGAACATGTAAAGGGAAAGGGATAGCCATAAATGCAGTTGAAGCAGAGGAAGATAGACAAGAAGATGAAAATGAAGGAGCAGGTGATACAATGGAATTTGTAGAATATGAGGATAGTGAATCTGAGATGGAGTCTCAACACTAAGATCAAGAAGTTCATGCAGGGGAGTGTATACCAACAAATAAAGTTAATCATGCCAAAGTAATGACTTCACACATTTAGAGCATTGAAAAGTAAGAATGTCTTGGAATCACTAGAACAAATGATCTGAAAGTGTGCGCTTCAGCACTTAGATCACAACCACCGACAAAACTTATAAAGGATAACTCTGACCTGAAAGCGTGCACTTCAGCACTTAGATCACAACCACCGACAAAACTTATAAAGGATAACTCTGACCTATACAAAGGTTCAGATAGATTAGTTAAGCTATCACTATTTGATAGCTGATCTCTGGAGAAAACTAAGAGATAAAGATTTCTCTTCCCAAAGATATTAATTGTATTCACCTGAAAGCGTGCGCTTCAGCACTTAGATCACAACCACCGACAAAACTTATAAAGGATAACTCTGACCTATAACACCAACAACAAAGATTAGAAACTTAGAAGTAAGATTGAAATAGATAAGAGAACAATCTTGTACCTATACAAAGGTTCAGATAGATTAGTTAAGCTATCACTATTTGATAGCTGATCTCTGGAGAAAACTAAGAGATAAAGATCTATATGAGAAAAATAGAAAATTGAAATTAAGAC